TTCCTAGCTTCATGTATTATCTTAACTTAGTTTCTGGCGTGATATCATTATACGTAGTGGTCTTTCCTTCGAGGCCTCTAACAAATATTTGAAAGTCCATTTTCAATTCAGAATAGAGTGCTGTTTTGGCTGGGGGCTTAAGTAAAGTTAATTGTTACGCTATTTTGTGAAAAACTAATTCATTGTTTCCGAAATTAACTTAATATAACACAAATATGGTAAAACTTTAAGGTTTTGCGATTTCTGGTTAAGGAATAAATTATGTCAATTTCTTATTATGGTGTACAAATGTCCTTTTTTTTAGTTTAGTAAAGTAAGCGATAAAAATCTCCAGAGGGTCATATTATTTAAATCTCTGTATCCATTGAGGATTTCATTAGTTTAAACAAACCAGAAATATTTCAAAAAATAAATCAAACAATAAAGATATACATGTTAATAAGCCAAAAAAATAAAGATTTATTTTAAAATAAAAAATTAAAAATTTCAGCGTCGGCCTGTCATCAAAAAATTATCAATATTCCAGAAAAATGCATGTATAAAATATATAATACATGCCGTTATTGTTTTAACTCGAGCCCTTTTACAAGCAGGGGAATTATCAACACTGTCCTTTAATAATCCAACAATAATTTCAATTATCTTTTTCATAATGTTCAAAGTGCATCTGCATTTTCTTTAATGGCTAATTTTTGAAAGATTAATCTGGCATTCACTCCTACTGGTGCAATATAACTCATCAGATGTAAAACTATTCCTGTTGATAGAATACAATCTGGATTTCCTCGATCAAATCTGGTAATCCTTAAATATTTATAATTAATCCGGATCCATCTTATTTTAAGGATCCATCCATATTTAAGTTCAACAGTGACAGTAACGACAATTCCGCGATCTCCAGAGTTCTCAAGATCGAAAATATCGGGCCTCTCTTTCATATCTTTATAAATATTTTCTGTTCCTATAATTATAATAAATGAATCCGTATCAGTATAAAGACGGAGCTTCGTTTCCATGACGAGCCTTTATATATCCATACCAAATATTATACATTATAGCCTTGCTAATATCAATAATTGCTTGTTCTACGAATAATGATTTATTTAGTTTCACTGTACTTTTTAACATATGAACGGCTGTTATTCCCCCTCAAAAGTTTTGAACCCTACAAACAATGGTGAACTTGCTAAACGTGTAAGTTTTTTATCCTAATCGGCTCAAAGCAATTCTACTCTCATGTGTTTGCGAATGTTTTCCATTTGTTTTCAAAATACTGCATTATTTTTAGCTTATAATACATAACTCCAAATTTATCATCATTATCTTTAGCAATCTTGCATTTACAAATATTTTCCTCGATATGGTCTTTCATCTATGGAGATTGTAAGAATTGTAACGCACCATTAATTTTTGTAACTTTTAATTCAAACTTTATATAAATCTGAAGAGCTTGGTAATGTATTACGTAATTTTTTTTAGGAAAAAGAGTCTGAACTAGTTTCTCACTAGTTACATATTTCCACTTCCATTTTCTTTATTATTTACTAATCTTTCATTAATAAACTAATTCTGTTTTCCGGTACTATCTGTTTTTAGGGTAATAAAGGAAAATCATTTCGAGAATATATCCTATTTTTGTATCCGAAGTAATATTTTGAATATCGGGAACTTCCTGGATTCACTTTAATATTTGTGCAGGCATATATTGAATAAGTTTTTGGTTTTTGGGGTTATAATCAGGACAATTGGGGTTATCAGCTTTAGCATGCCGATGCCTCACCAATGTTATACCTCCCCGAATTAATACAATTATTTATTTCAATGTTTGGGGTTTCGATTTATCTTAATGTTTAATTTTGATATTTAAAATTTCCTTTATACTTGCGTCCAATGATACGTTAAATATTTTAAAACTCCTTGTGTTCTATCTTCCATAGAGACAAATTTCTTTAACCGTTTGACCGTTTAATCGTTTAATTCAGTTGTCATTAAAACTATTCCCAATGATTTTGTCCAATTCTCAACATAATTCAGCCCAGTGCTGTGGGTCAATTTTTATGTGGTTAACCGGTCTCAATCCTTATTCTTCCATAAAAACGAATCTCGAAAAAGCAAAGCACAACAGAATCATTTTTCTCTCAAAACCCGAAATTCAGCAACACAGTCTCATTTTAATTTGTTAAATACAGATAATAAATTAACAATAGTGACTAAGTAACATCCTTATGAGGAAATAAGGACTGGTTTATTTTTATTGATAAATGGTTTTTATAAACAAAAAAAAAGTTGGCTTAAAAATACAAAAGTTTTAGATAAATATTATATCATTATAAAAATGATAAAATAAATAAACAAAATAAAATATGCAATTTAATAATAACAAAACAAAAAATCCAAGAGATGTTCTCTGGTGACCGACCCAATAATCTTGACCACAGTTAATGATAATGAAAAATATTAACCCTCCGCTTCAGTATGGAATAAGAAAATTACAAACCGGGGATAGTGGTCTGTACAGGAGCAATATCGCATACACTGTTGAATGTACCGCATGACCAGCCGTTTTGCGGGCC